CTTTACCCGGTGTACTGTCCTCGGGGTGTGTTGGATCTCTTCAATCAGAGTACTGTCATCAATTAGGGGGTTGATCTCTACACCAAGTGTATTGTCATCTAAGAGGAGTGGATCTCTTCATCTTGTGTATTGTCATCTGTGTGGGGGTGGATCTTCTCACATAAGTTTACTGACAATTCTTTGAGGGGGTTGGATCTCTTCAGCCAGTCGACTGTCATCTGTCAAGGGTGTATCTCTTTACCCAGTACACTCTCATCTGTAAAAAGGTGGATCTCTTCTGTAATCTGAGAGTGGGTGGATATATTAACCCAGTGCTGTGATTGCAAGGGATGGGCCGCGTAGCTGTATCACGATAATTAATAACTTATGTCATCACAGTGGCTAGCATTAATATCCTACTAGATACCATAAAGTATGTCATCACAAGATCTAACATTTTTATCATACTCCTTAACATAAAGTATGCAATCACTATAATTAACTTAAAGTATTTCATATCAATAGTTAACGTAAAGAAGTTTGGAAAAAAACAAAACTGTTCAATATTCTTCTAGATGTCCAAATGAACATTAGTATAGGAGGATATCTCACTTTGACATAGCAGTGTATCTCACTTTGACTTAAGAGTGTATATCACTTTGCCATAGGAGGGTACCACCCTTTACTGTAGGAGTGTTTCTCACTTTTCCATTTGAGTGTTCTCACATTGCCATATGGTGTATCTGACTTTGACAAGGTAGTGTATTTCACTTTGCCATAGGAGTGTAACTCACTTGTCTTTGGAGTGTATCTTTCTGTGACATACGAGTATATCTCATTTTTCTGTAGGCCGCTTCAAATACCTAGAAGAAATAGTCTCAGTCGAAGACTCCAAGCCCAAAATGATGTCCAGGATTGAACAGACTACAATAGCACTAAAGAGGCACAAGAAAATAGGGAATGACAGAAATATAGCCCCCAGCACAAAAATCAGGCTAATGCGCTAATTAGTCCTCTACATTTTCCTGTATGCCTGGGAATCCTTGACATTAACAGCCGATCTTAAAAGGAAAATAAAGGCGATTGAGATGAGATGCGAAGGGTTCGCCCGGCAATTGAGGAGTACGATGACCTATTGATGTCCCTCTATTAGCTCCATCTGCAAATTTTCAAGTGCATATTCCACGCCTATGACAAATGGGTTACGAAGCAGTTCGAAATTACATTTATGTGTTTCAAAGTCACTAAAGCACCGTGCAAACTCAACGCGAAGTCAGCTAAATTTTCCAGGAGAGTGAGCAATTGGAAATACCATAGCATTGACTTTGATATAAGTGTACGCTGGTCAATACTTGGCGGGCCTGATGTAATTGTACGACGGGCCGGGTGTGGCCCGCCGGGGGATTGAATTTGACCCTGTTCCTTACAGTATAGAAATCAATTTATGTGTAATTCGTTTCACTTTATGAAAATAGGTGGGGATGTCCTTTAGGACTAGACATTTCGTCTCTATAAGTAAGTGCAAAATAAAATACATCTTCTATCTCATCGTCTCTCAAAATGTCGGTGGCGACCCCTTTGGGAGGGGGGGGGGGGTTCGAACGATCCTTTAACAGAGGTTGGCCAAGATAATTGGAAAACATATATTTAAGAAGTAGGAACGACAATAATTTTATGGCTAGGGGCACCGCAACAAGAGGACATTTATTATTTAAGGGTCAAGCCATTAGGATGGTTGAGAAACAGTGCTCGAGCCCTACACAAAATGTCATCTCTTGTCTGGGGGTTGCTACCGTCTGTTAAAAATTTAACCTAAAATGCTTTGTCCTTTTACCGTCGTATGATACTTAAGATGTTCGTTAAGAAAGAATTTGTTTCCAAGCACTTACAACGCCTTTTTTATTATGGCAATTTTGTTTTCAATAAATATTATTTTAAAATTTTGAAAAAAATTAAAAAACAACGAGTCTATTGCTTTAGAGGCTGCACCATCTCTAAATTACTAGCCGTCACAGTTTTTTGTAAATATCCAGCAAAGTTATGAACGATAAATGATTATAAAATGTCATTCTGGCCGTGAGGAAAACATTTTTGGATGCCTTTCGTATAAAAACGAAAACATTTTTTTTTCTTCTAAATTTAAATGGTTCCTTTTATTTCTAAGACTATTAAAAAGTATAACAGAATAATTTTTCGAAATATTAAGTAATAAATGAAAAAAAATGTTTTGCAATAGTATAATGAGACAAAAGTAACCCTAAAAGTATTATATTCACTGGCGCACTAAAAGGGACAGAAGGTGATACAATTTCGGTTCCTCTTGTAAACTACATACTTAATTTTGCTCATTGAAAAATAAATGCTTAATCAAAGAAATTGATCAGTAACTGAACAAGGGTAAACAGAAAAAAAATAATTAAATTTGGTATATTTAAAAAAATGCCATTGCTTTATAATTGCAAATATTTGTTTTAATTTGGGAAAATTTTACATTTTATAACTGTACTGTCAGTAAGACTTTATGCAGAAAAATATTTTTTTTGTAAATGAAGTATCAAAGAAAAATTCGGAATCAAAATATGCTGATTTTCTTTCATTTATTGTTAGCTATCAGCGTATATCTTTGTATGGGTGTATGTATAGTTCTGGCCTGTCCAAACCAATAATTTAATCATCACAAATCACATAACACGTGTATTTCAATGCCTTCCGTTATGATGTGTTTTTTTTTCTTCTTTTTGAGTTTGAATTAACGAATAGCTGCTGGATATATCTTTCGGGGATACCATTAAAAAAAACACAATTTATTTTAATTTTTATGTTTGTAACTTAACACCGTCTTCAATATAATTGTTTGGCATTCCTATTTTACACAAAGGTGGGTTTTCTTACATCCATAACATTATGTCATAGATAAACATCGCTGTAACTTAGAGTGAACAATGGGAAATATATTTACATGCTGCTACATTGATTGACAGTCTATCGTGTTCAACATCTTATAATAATCTATACGTATTGTTGTGTCTGGCTTTGAAAGATCTATAACTAATTTTGTGCCCGGCTTAGAATGATCTATACCTAATGTTGTGCCAGGCTTAGAATGATCTATAACTAATGTTGCGCCAGGCTTAGAATGATCTATACCTAATGTTGTGCCTGGCTTTGAAAGATCTATAACTAATGTTGTGCCCTGCTTAGAATGATCTATACCTAATGTTGTGCCAGGCTTAGAATGATCTATACCTAATGTTGTGCCAGACTTTAAATGATCTATAACTAATGTTGCGCCAGGCTTAGAATGATCTATACCTAATGTTGTGCCTTGCTTTGAAAGATCTATAACTAATGTTGTGCCAGGCTTAGAATGATCTATACCTAATGTTGTGCCAGGCTTAGAATGATCTATACCTAATGTTGTGCCTGGCTTTGAATGATCTATACGTATTGTTGTGCCAGGCTTAGAATGATTTATACGAATTTTTGTGCCTGGCTTAGAATGTACTATACGTATTGTTGTGCCTGGCTTAGAATGATCTATACGTATTGTTGTGCCTGGCTGAGAATGATATATACGTATTGTTGTGCCTGGCTTAGAATGATCTATACGTATTGTTGTGCCTGGCTGAGAATGATCTATACGTATTGCTGTGCCTGGCTGAGAATGATCTATACGTATTGTTGTGCCTGGCTGAAAATGATCTATACGTATTGTTGTGCCTAGCTTATAATGAGAAATAGGTAAGTTTGAGCCCAGCCGAGTTTTAATTTACAATTTTAAAAACGTCTGCTTCCTTCTTGTGTAGGTCTTGCCCGTGTCAACCCTTTACTTGAATTCAATTTTCTAGTGAACTTAAAACTTGCTTCTTGAAAACAACCATGTTGATGGCGATGAATGATCCAAAAACAATCAATAAAGCATCTGCGAATACATTATAGTTTAAAAATAAAGTTTAAAAAAAATAGATACACATCTTATTTTTTTATAAATATCAATCATCATTTTTAAAGGAGAATAAATTAAAACTGATATTACATTTTGACAGTTAATGCGTTTGCGTTTCATCCCAAACTTTCCAACAATCATGCATCAAACACAAGACATAGTTACATTGTATTATCGCTCTCAAGACTTTTACAATCTTTCTTACAATCATCTACCCAAGCCCAAGCCATCCTCAGCTACTCGTGTTATCGCTCTTAAGACTTTTACAAACTTTCTTAAAATCATCTCCATCTAGCCCAAAAATTATAAGCTACTCGTGTTATTGCTCTTAGGACTTTTACAAACTTTCATACAATCAACTCCATCTACCCCAAGAGATGATCAGCTACTCGTGTTTTTGCTCTTAAGACTTGTATACCTTCAAAAAAAACAAGACTTATACAAACGTATCAATGGTGCCGAATAGAGGAAAACGTTTATTGACTTAAAGCGTTGAAAATATGGGGACTTCATATAGTCTTTAAATACAAACATTGTTTATTTACACCCTTCAGAAACACATTGAGCTACAACTTAAAATAACACATTTATATACACAACATAGCAACACCTTTATCTAAACGTTATAGAAACACCTTTGCGACACCCTATAGTAAAGACCTTCATCTAAACCCTATAGGAAAACCTTTATCTAAACCCAATAAGAAAAGCTTTATCTACAACCTATAGAAACAGTCTTACCCACATCCTATAGAAACATCTTTTTCTATACCCTTTAGAAACATCTTTATCTAAACTCTATAGAAACACATTTTTCTGAACCCTATAGAAAAAACATTTATTTACACCCTATGAAGACACATGTATCTACACCCTATAAAGACACATTTATCTACACCCTATGGAGAGACATCTATCTACACCTTATAGAAACACATTTATCTACACCTTATAGAGACACTTTATTTAAAAAGTTTGTAAGTAATTATGTAAAATTAACGTTTATCTTAAAGTCTGCAATTAACACGGAAATACCTGGTAAGTAGAATTTGTCAACGCCAGCACCATTGGTTGACATGTAATGACATGGGATACTGGCGTCTTCCTTTTCAAACATTTCATCAAGATCCGAAGAATAACTGCTATCATCTAGATTAAAGGAGGGAAACCTCACAGAGTTTATTGATATATCATTATTTTCATGTTAATATCTGTCAATGATAAAACAAAAACTCTTGAATCATTGTCTAAAATTCTCCATCAAATCAATGGATATCGACTAAAAGTCAGTACAAATAATTGTTTAGGATAACACACGATGGTGATGATATCACATTTCTGCATTAAAATCTTAAAGTTTACATAAGTCTCACTTCTGAACTTAAATCTTTAGAGCGTAAGTATAACTCACCACTGGAGTACAATATTTAGGGTTAAAATAAGAATTCCTTTATGGAGGACAACCTCAAGAGAGGACGTAAGACTCACTTGTTTAGTGCATTCTTCAAAGTTTGAAAAGGATTCACTCTTTGAGTACTATCTATAGAGTTAAAATGTATCGCTTACGCCCAAGGAATACGATAGTGAAACAAGGAAAAATTTGCTCCAATCCCACAGGGACCCAAAGACATTTGGACCAGCTTTCTAAGAACAAACAGGTTTATAAAGTCAACTGCTCACTGATAATGGAATATATGCTTTTTTTTAGATTTGCATGCCAAGTACGAACATCAAATACGGTATATTAGTTTACTAAAATACGCGTGTGTATGTTTAATCATCGTTTTTATTGACATGTGTTTGCAAGTGTCAAAACAGCATTGTATTGAGATAAGCTTTTGCAAATCAAATCATTATTTTTGTGCACATATGATTGTGTATGTGAAAATTTCTTTTTATTGACATTTGCTTGTGTATGTGAAAACAGCATTTATTTGCATAGGCTAATGTATGTCAAACATCATTTTATTGAATATGCTTGTACATGTCCAAACATCATTTTATTGCCATATTGACATATGGTTGTGTATGTGAAAACAGCATTTCATTGCTTACTCACCTTTGTAATCCGACAACTTTAGTTCATTGCTGACATATTTGATTCCAGGGGCATTTATCGGGGTGAGTCTATCTCTTGGCTTTTCGACATCAACCAGTCGCGCCCTCACTGTGCAAAATCTAAAGTAATAATAATAATCGCCCCAGATGAAGTAGCGGTAGGTTCTTCCGCTGATTAGCTTGCAGCCATAATCCTTTTTCTCCCAATTGCATTCTCCGGCAACAATACTTTCACGCTGAAATCAGAAGTACATCCTTTGCAAGACTTAGTTCAAAATAAACGTATGTCGTGTTCTTCCTCAAGCGAGAATGTTTCTAATTTTTTTTTTATTGTACAGCTTTGGACAAAGCGATAACTCAAATTCGCAAACCATTATTGCTTAAACAAATCTTGTGAAAATTTTATTGTACATTTCCAAAAAAAAGTAACAAAATTGAGTTCTCAACTCGTTTAATAAATCATTTTTTTTTTGTAAAAACCAGTCGGTTTGCATAATTTTACAACTCTAACTTGCGTCTTAAGCATATGTGTACCTCCATATATTTTATATGAAAACTCTTAGTGTATTTGTAAATTATGTATTGCATTTTGAAGCTACACATAGTTTAGTTTAAATTTTGGTTCGAAATAATTAATTATCAATCAAAAACATCGTTCTTAATGTGCAAGTTATGGAGAATGTGGGTTCAAGCCCCGGAAAATCAGCTCCTAACCGTATCACACCATGCAGGGAATCATCTAAATACTTTCCTTAGTAGTGTGGGTTACATTAATGGATGAGATTGGGATATTACGATAGAAATATGTTTTTTTTTCAATATAATATATCGCAGGGCACATACCTGCACCGACCAAGTTTGAAAAATTGACCTTTACTTACAGGGAATATTAATATGATGATGTTCATAAGCCATGGGGGTTTGTAATTTATTGAGGTTTCGGGATAACCTAGGAAATCTGTTGTTTTTTTTTTGAATTTTTGAAAAAAAATATATTTTAACGATAGAAAAATTATTTGAAATCGAAATGGGGATAAGAGACATTGAAATCATGAGCTGTTGCGGCGCTGAATAGCGTTCAGTAACTTTATTTTACTGAATTTATTTTCAGTTTGTGAATTTATTATTCTATCATTTATGGAGAGCTTTATCCTGACTCATAATTTCCTTCCACTCAGACCAAATGGATGGTTTTCTTTTGTCATTCTGTCTTATTGTCCCACACAGCGTAGAGTACCTTACTTTTTTCCATTTCTTCTACTAGCGTGTGATCTTCATTTACACTATACTATTCCTGTTAGGTTTGTATTCTCCATTCTCCATTGGGTGACTGGGTGGCCGACTGGTCTAAACTGAGGAAACCTCAAGTTGATAATCTGAGCAAACCTCAAGTTCTATTCTAGTCAAGCAAAATCATCACCCCGGTTGGATGAGACTCGTTAACCTTGGTCGGCAACTCATCTAAGAGAAGGAAACTCTGAATTAAAACCCGGAGATGGAGTCCCTTAAGGCGCATACAATGACAATTCGTGCAACCGTACCCATCCCTGGTCACCTAGAAGTAGAGTCCTGCCACTGGATATGGTGGGCCCGGGCGAGAGAGTGAGGTTGACGCTGCGCAACTCTTCCTCACTTTAAACAAAAGTCACCCGCGCAAGTCTTCAGTCACCAGACGACTCGATGATCTCGTCAATGCTCGACGGACGAACAACAAATTTCTCCATTCATATCAATCCTTTGATGGTACATATACTCACAGGAGAGATTTTCTTTTCCACGTGTTTGATAGGTTTTGTTCCCTTTTTGTAAGGATGCAAGTTTAACTTGCGTATGTTGCAATAACTTTCATTATTTTTATATAGAAATAATTAGTTTTTCTTGTCATGTTTGTGCTATTGAGTATTTCCTTACTGCTAAAGTAATTCCTGTATCCACCCTAATATTCTTTCTTGATTTTTTTTTAAAAATTGGTTAAGGATTCTCGTATTTGATTTGATGTACTATTTCAAAAGCATTATTTATCCTTTTTACATAGTCATGTATTTTTATTTTGTTGTTAATTTTTAGCCCTTAATGTAATGGTGCATCTTCCCATAGGTATTTACAACATTTCCCTAACTGTGATATGTCATCGGCGTATGCAAAGTATTGAGTGGGTTATTTAAGAAAGTGCCCATTTTTGTGGCTATAGGTTTTCTCTCAGACATTATCTTGAGATTGTTCCTCGGGGGTCAACATGTATGCTTCTTATATCTCTCTCTAGTATTAGTTTAAATAAGATACAAGTCACTGAGTCAGGTTGTTGCGTATGCCACACTCCAGCAGAGTCGGATATAGATATTTTCTATGGATGATGTCATAGGCAGTTTTATGTTCCACATAGTGTTGATGTGCTGGGATATTATATTCGTAAAATTTCTCTAGTAGGCGTCTGATGGTGAACGACTGATCTGTTTTGTCTTAATCAACATGGCAGTCACTTGGTACGTCATCAGTATACGGTTGCACGCTTGGCAATTTGTTTTGTCCTCATTTTGTATGCAACATTTAATATGGGAATCCCTCTGTATTTTGTGCATTTAAGTGTATAAACTCTATTGTGTATTGGGGTTATTAGTGCTGTTTCCCATTCTGTTTGACTTTTCATTTTGTTTCCAAATCTTTAGTTATACGTTTATGCGTCGGAGCGTGTAAATCTCTTCCTCCATATTTCATAATTTCTGCTGTGTTGGGGTCTTCTCCCTGGGCTTTGTGGGGTTTTTTTTCCACAGAATTGATGGCTTCTGTAGATTCTTCACATTTTGGGGAGTGTATGAAAAGGTCTGCTATTTGATCATCTTTTTCTTGTATCTTGTTTGCAATTAGTATGCCCTTAAATTATTCAGCCCACCTCTACAGTACTTCATTTTCTATCATTGCTCTCATATGTTTAAGGAATGGCTTGGTTTCCATTCTTTTCATCTTTTATCTTTATGCACATTCATGAAATATGTTTTCTCTCTTGATAAGTCTTCAACTTGTTTAGGCATTTTTACCCATTCCATATTTTCTTTCTACACATTTTCTGATTTTCCTTTTGGATTCATTGTATGTTTGTCTCGTAATTATGGTTTATTTTTCATTCTGGTCATTAGTGCCGTCTGATATTTTTCCCGACAGTCTCTCTACATTCCTGATCAAACCAGTTTATTTTAAGTTAGTTTACTGAAATCATACTACTTTTTTTTTCTTATACTTTATAGCATTTTCATCTTATCCTACCATGAATGTCTACTGTTTTCCCTGTTCACTTTCTCCTGTGATGCTCCTAGTTGTGCTTCCGCCCCAAGTCCTTACTATTTTTCGGTTACTGGCTCTTTGGTAATATTTTGGTTGCCATCGTTTCTTTATTTGATTTCGGCCATTGTGTATTATGATTACTCTCTTCTTATATCTCACATATACCAAGCACAGTCTGCATCCGCTTTGTGTTAGTGTCTCACACTTAGTATATATGATCCATGCCTCCGATCGATTGAAACATGGTCAATTTGTTTGTAAATCAACCCTAGGGTGAGTTCCAAGTAATTTTTGTTTATACTTTTGTGTGGAAACTTGTTACTGATGATTGGCCTCCCTTTTCCTGAAGCAAAGTCTATGAGTTGGATCCGATTGTCATTGGATTCTACATATAGACTATCCTTGCAAGTATTTGGCATGATCACCTTTTCATTTCCATTTTTTCGGATTTGCAGTCACCATTCACTGTACAAAATGTTATGTCTTCCTTATCATAGATCTTTTACAATGAATAATTAGAGGATTTTATTTTTATCCCTTCTTCTGTATTTTTGGTAGAACATTCACATTTTTCCTAGTGCTTGCAAAGAGCAGCATATTTCAATCTCTGGTTTACAAATATTGACATTTATAAAGTGAGGTGACATTTATTTGGTGAGGTGACATCTATAAGGTGAGGTGACATTTAAAAGGGGATGTGACATTTATAATGCAACAAAATTATAATATTGAAAGCCTTGGTTGTAGTCATTGATTTACTAAAAGAAATAACACACCATGTTGATGGGAAAAATATCTATCAGAACGGTCATAACATAAATTAGTGAAACTATAATTTAAATATTAAAAAGAGTTTTTGAGCTCCAATCTTCATAAAATGCAACCCTGAATATATGCATTAGGTCACTTCCGGCTGCATTATTACTATTATTTTTAAAAATTTTTATTTATAAAAATGCTTTTTTCTCCTCGGACTTATCTTCTTGATGTTATATTTCTCTCCATTTCTTTTATCGTAGTCAAGCATTTAATGAATATGTGTGAATCATTAATTCTTACATTTAGCTTATCTCTGTGACGTGTCAAAACTTTTAGAGACGTCTAACCAGTTTGCAATAGTCCATTCAGACCCACCCCCACCCCCCATTCTCACTTTAGGGTGTCAGCTGTTGCTGTCCGAAACATCGTTACCACCAATGCAACGCTAATGATACATGCATATGAATTAACACACTTTAAAGGGTATAGCTAATATATAAGCTATCAAAATCTATTTCAGTTAACATGATAGACGGATATTTACTCATTCTCCTTCTATGGAAAGGTGTTTCTTAAGATGAAAAATTACTTTTTGTTGTAAATTTTAAATAAAAAAATAAAAAAAGTGCATCTATATTTTTTTTTCAATTGTAAAATACTGCTTACATCTCTTGGGCTGAGAGAATTAGTAAACAAATAGCACAGAGTACGCACTAGTATAAAGTAGCTTGGGAAGGCTGTGTTGAAAAAAATGTAGGAAATAAAATATGCAACACATCTTACCCATTCCCAGACATCACCCTGTCCTTTGTAAGTTATACAGCCTGGTACTTGAGGGCACTTATGCTCATAGGCAATGAAGGGTGGCATTACCTCCCCTTTCTCCAGAATTATCCTCCCTGTTATGTTGAACTCAACCTCAGCGTTTCTGCACACCATTCCTGGTTTACCACAGTTGATGTTTTCAAAATCATCCAGTGTAATCTCCAATCCGTGTATCCCTGGAGGAAAAAAAAACAACAAATATCATCTTGGGCAGCCATGAGTAAGTATTCAACTAGTTTGTTATTTTATCGTTCTCTTCGGTGCAACTGGTTTGTCACTTCAAATTTCCTTAAGTTCAACTGGTTTGTCACGTCTCAATTCACTACAGGGTCGTGAGACGGAAAACCTACGCCCAGGGGAAAGTCGTTTTCAAAAAAAAAGAAAATTAGATCAACATGGATGTAATTGCATACATATATATATAATTATACCTTAATGTAATATTTGAACGATTTAAAATGAAATTACGGTTAATAAATAATTTTTCATGTGGCTTTTTTTTCCTACATTCATCACAAGTCCCTTGGCTCTATTTTTTATTTCTGTTTTTGAAAATGCTTTGATGTTGTCTTGCCAACTGTTAACTGGTCGTCTTACAGTTGAGTTGTAGCACAAATACAGTTATTAAAACAGCAATACACATCAGTAATAACTCGTAATGTTTAGCTCATTATAACAAGTTATTTGGGGTAAGTTAGTGAAACAAAAGATCAGTATTTTATTGAGCTAACTTTAGATTCTCAAAAAAGTTTTTTTGACTCCATAACACAAGAAATGTGTCGATATCTTCAATGACAAGAGATGTCCATGACAATGAATTGAAAGATTTGAAATATTACCTTATGTTGAATTAAAACAAAAAAAAATGCTTTGATATAAATGTTGATGAATTTATTTTACGTCCCATAAATTGTAGTTATAGCTTTCCTTTTGTGTTTCAAATAACTTAACTGTTGGTTTATTTATATATGTAAACTTTTTCCTTTTTTTTTTTTTTCTTGTTTTAAATAAATTATATTTTAAGAACTTACCCATAAGGATTTGTAAAAAGGCAAATCCAGCAGATAGGGACATCATTTGATTTATTCTTGCTTTTATACGCTATATACAATCTTAAATTTTAATGTGTTTCAAATAACTTAACTGTTGGTTTATTTATATATGTAAACTTTTTCCTTTTTTTTTTTTTTCTTGTTTTAAATAAATTATATTTTAAGAACTTACCCAGAAGGATTTGTAAAAAGGCAAATCCAGCAGATAGGGACATCATTTGATTTATTCTTGCTTTTATACGCTATATACAATCTTAAATTTTATGAGAGAATCGAAACACACTTCTATTAAATAGTTGCTCTTGTTACCATGTGTATCCTTCTATTTTGGGGTCCAGTACTTGATATTAATTAGTTTAGCTACTGTTTCATCCGTTGAATGATAGAGATGTTCGCTAGAAAATGTTTTGATTTTCCCAATCTGAATCAAATAATAATAAATTATTGTGTTTATTTTCAGTGTCGAAATATAGTTTTGTTCTTTATAGTTTACATAATTTCTGCTTAAAAATCTAGACGAAATGAGACATGTGAAGTGACCTTTGGTGACGTAAACAGCAACTTTTTTAACATTTAGAGTACTTGGCATCAAGACTTTTGTTTTTTCAATTTTGCTTAGAAAACTCAATAAGTTATTTTTAATTACGTCATAAATCGTGCAACGAAGTAAAGAAACATGAAATAAAGAATGTCAATTGATTTTTTTTCCTGATAATAATTGAAACGTACACATCACATTGTCCCGTCTTTTCATTAAGTCTTCAACATACCTTGTTATACTATTTTATTTTGTGGGTTATTTAAAAAAAAAGTTATTTCATTGCAATGAATATAACTTAATTGTACGCTGTTTTATGTGAAGACTGCCAGTGGGAAATGTGTACAACACAACCACCAGTTTACAGCATTTGAGCCTTTCTTTGTTTCCATTTTTATTTGCACGATTTGTCTACATACATTCACATTACGTCTCAGGTTATTTACTTACACAAAATAGCAATCTGCATAGTTATTCAATTTCTAAAAAAAATATTTATTCAATTGCATCAAAAAGAGTATTTAAATATTTTAGAGTTAATATCTGGTTAAAAAATTTCTTAGGATGTGATACAATCTGAACTGAAAAAAAGGTATATATATATATATATATAACTATTTTTCTTCAGAAAGAACATAAACTAAATATCTTGACAGTCAATGACAATTTTAGTCAGAAAAAAAAAACCTCTCTTAAAAACAGAATTTATAAATTTACACAAAATTTAAGCTTTGCCTATCTAGCTGACAATAGTCTTGTCCTTGCAATCATTCATTGGTATGATAACCAATCTACATGACAACAATCTTGTCCTGGCGATCCTTCATTGATATGTCAACAAATCTAGTTAGAAACTATCTTGTCCATGCAATCATTCCTTAAACATCAATAAATCTGACACAGATGCATACATAAAAACAGCAATTAACCTGACACATATACATACATAAAAACAGCAATTAACCTCTCACATATACATACATTATGACACAAATAAATCCGACACATGCATACATAAAAGCACCAATAGATCTGACACAGACACATACATAAAAGCATCAATTAACCTGACACAGATACATACATAAAAACTCCAAGAAATCTGACACAGATACATACATAAAACAACAATAAATCTGTTACAGATACATAAATAAAAACAGCAATTAATCTGACACATATATATATACATAAAGACAAAAATAAATCCGACACATATATACATAAAAACACCAATAAATCTGTTACAGATACATACATAAAAACAGCAATTAAAATGACAGAGATACATACATAAAAACATCAATAAATCTGTTACAGATACATACATAAAAACAGCAATAAATCAGTAACAGATACATACATAAAAACAGCAATTAATATGACAGAGATACAAACATAAAAACACCAATAAATCTGTTACAGATACATACATAAAAACACCAATAAATTAGTGACAGATGCATACATTAAAAACAGCAATTAATATGCCAGAGATACATCCATAAAAACAACAATAAATATGAGACATGTAGATCTAGAATACACACTCCTAGACTAAATCTTCAAAATCAAATGCATCTACTGACTTAAATTTTTCTCGTTCTTTTTCTCTATGAAGTGTTTTGAGACGTCATTTTTACTTATGTACTTTCTTGTTCTTCTTTTTCTGTCAGGTCTGTGTCTTTTAAGTGATCTATAAATTCCTTTCCACTGATCAGTGGTGGGAGCTATTGTATGTTGCGTCTCAGAGAGCTCTGTTTTAAGAACAGCCATTAAAAGACGATACTTTTGAGCATGAGGTGGAGGGCATTGACCGCTTAAATTTGAAATGTTACTTAAAAGGCAATTATGTCGTGACATAATTGCCATAATCTGTAAGAAGTGTCATTGCATTTATAACACTCTTTACGAATTTCGTAAGATTGGTTTTAAGTTTGACTTTCTAACATGTGCACATATCACTAACATATCCACAGGGACACGAACACCTAGAGGCATGTCATTGAACTTAGTGAATGATGTTGCTATAGACGCAACTTGGTAACCACGAGGATTTGGATTCGAGATATTAATAAAAATAATATACATATTGGACCTACAAGATGGCTAGAATAAGCAAGCAATGGAGAACAATCATCAGTCAGGCATACTTAAGACAAAGCTGTTTTTTTTTTGCCAGGTCAGTTCTCACTGGAAGTGTAACTATCAATTGGCGGGCATATGATTTGTCAGTAAACGATACGTCACAACATCTGACAACATAAATTTTGACTGAATGCGTAGATCCAATTCAAAATCTTTGATTGCCATATCAGTGCCAAAATTATTATGTGTTGATATTTCAGTTTTCAAATTTGAGAGATGCCGATAGGAATGAATAGCATCATTGAGAACCACTGGCAGCAGCTTCAAACTCCACCAAGAGTGGCATGGTCAGGTAACTAACTTTAGTTTGATCTTAAACTTCTTTGTCCTCTCTTGAAAGTGTCGTTGATGTTGACACAGTTTTTAAGTTACAACATGTCTTATTCTCATCATCCAAAAATGAGTTGTATTTTTTGGTCACGTGTGACATATACAAAGAAAAAATATTATTATTTTTCTTTAAATAAACTAATTTATATTCATATTGACAAAGTTATTTTAAATACAAATATGTGTTTGTATTAATATATTATTTTCCAGAACGGGTAAAAAAATTAAAATTTAAAAAAAACTAGTAGGGCCGAACAAAGAGAACATTTATTATCTTTGCTTTCGTGTACTTACATGAATTGCATTAGCTGGAATAAGTCCTATTTGAAACATATTATTTATCGCGGTTAGTTAATATAAAATGGTTTTTGTGGATTTAATTTTTTTTATTACAAAATTAAACTGCTTTAAAGTATACTTTGTTAATCTTTACCATACTCTTGGTAAAAAAATGGTTACAATACATTATAAAAGAGTGTTTTTTGTTAAGGCGAAGATTGTTTCCACAATTTTTAATTGTATTTAAATTTAAACAATTTTTTGTGCCTATAAAATCCTAGCTCATAAATCATAATTGTGGTTTAGACATGTTTTGGAAAAAAAAAGGAGTTCATTTTGTCACTTAATTAATGACGCCAAGCATAGAGAACTGGGTCTCTGATGCTTGTCTATAAGATTAAGTTAAACAGAACAGTCTTCTAACAGAATCTCTAACGCTGCGATGACAACAGAAAAGCAGAGGGTTGAATGCAGAGTTCAGGTAACCCAGCCACGCCAAAGCCGTCACTGTCCACGAGTCAATCTCCAGACCTGGGACGCCATTAATAACACTTTGGAATACGGCTAACGGCAACCAACAGACCGTGAAAATAATAACAATCAGTCCAATGGTCCGATACGCCTTCAAGCTGGAAGATTTTTTAGCCGATAACTTCTTTTGAGGCACAGTGTTCATGTTTTCTTTGCTTGTCCTCTTTGTTTGAGCCTTTCTTGGACACATTTTATTGTTTGATGACTTTGTTTGAAATTCACTATTTATGCTTGTTTGGTCAATTATGAGGACTTTTACCATACGTGTACACACTGTATTTTCTGAGCTAATATTTGTGCCATGAGTATATAATGTGTCAACGTATGTGCCTGTTACCGATACACTCGGCGGAGTAACATCTTCATGTAGCTTTGTAGCCTTTAACTCCAAGAAAGGTATCTCTGCGGTTAAACCAGAATGTCCATTGCAAATATTATTTGAAGATGGAGTATGTTGATATAAGCGAGAAACTTTGTCAAGTTGAGGCACAGTTCGGCATTGGTTGACTGTGAGTCCTTGAGAAAAGACATTGCCTTGAAACTTCTTTATTCTCCCTTTTTGAAATCTTCGAACTTGTACTAAAATGAGGAAGTAAAGTACGAACACGATTGCGAATGGTGCAAAGAAAGACATGAGGGAGCCAATGATGCTGAAAGCAGGCTTGAATGAAAGAATGCACAGAAAATTCATTTTTTCCGTTGCAATTAGTTGGTCTACGTTAGCCTGAGCCCATCCAAAGACAATCGGGCAAGCGAAGAAAGCATGGGGAAATATCCAACAGAAGGCGACCATGTAGACACCAGCCCTGTGGGTCAGTTTATGATAGATCAATGGCTTGCACACTGCGATGTACCTGTCTACAGCCATGAAGAAAACGTGATAGATGGAAACAGTGCAGAGGAGAACATCGATCAGGGCCCGGTACCTGCATAAGTTTGGACTCAAGGTCCACCTCCCGTTGTTGACCATCTCACTGGTGGCCATAGGCATGATGATAGCGCCTATCAGAAAGTCCGATGTTGCCATTGACGTCATCAACATCTGGGCGATTTCATGTTTATTCCCCTGACCCATGGACGCACTGGGACGTCTGACGTAATAGCACACCATTGCCAAGATGACTGCAGCGTTGGATAAGATGGTGTAGACGGTGGCAGTGGCAGCGGTCAGCGACAAGACGACCAACAGATGTCGGTTGATGCTGATTGGCTGAGTTATGGTAGCAGATGGGACGTCCTTGAGATCGCAGTTAGTGACGTTTAACATGTCCTGCTTTTAGATATCGAACTGACCATAACATATGACAGGGATTAGCCGTTATTGCAATAGCTACCTGCCATTTAAAATCAGTTAAATTCTAAAATCTAATAACACATGAATAATCTCTTATGATTAACACATGTGTAGTAGCTATGAAGTATATCTGACCTTGATCATTTATGAACTATTTCTTCACTTGTTCAATATCAAGTATCTCTGACCTTGATCATTTATAAAGTATATCTGACTTTGATCACTTATCAAGTATCTCTGATCTTGATAACTTATCAATTATCTCTGTGTTATATCACTTATCAAGTTGTGTCTGATTCGTTGAAATATAAAATATGTTTAATTTTGATCATTAAAGAATTTTAATTTACTTTTTCGCCAGTCACTGTGTTATCAATCAAACACATCTCTTTGATATTTACTATTCATGTAAGTATCGCAAATGTCCGTGTAAGGTATCAAGCCGTCCACTGAAACTGACTTGAATGAAAGCACGTTAACCAATCCAATGTGTTTATAGTACCTAATATCTGTGTGATAGCATATGAATATAATTATATTGCGTCTTCAGATTAGAAAGATCCATCAAAGTTAAACCGTCCCTTTAAATGGAATGAAAGCTCCGATGGCTTGTACACGATATATCATTGTTTTCTTCGAGCGACACACCCACGCTCTCTACAAACGTCACAGGCTCATTTAAGTTTCTATCTCACAGCTCATCTCATTAGGCCTCCAATTTAAACACGCATATAATGTGTGAGCGCTGCCACAGGCGGCAAGTCAACATCCAAGTTTGTGATTGGTTTCTGGAATTGTTTGATTAACCCAAACGATACATTAGTTTCATGTTTCTCTCTCGTCTATTTGTTTCATTCGACAGTGGTGTGGTAATGGCGAGTGTGTGTCAAGAGTGTCGCACCCCGGGACATAACATAATCGCTGCTCTACACTGGCTCGTGGGCGGGGTGTTAATACTTAAAATGAATATGAAATGATTGAAGTGAGGAGGATAATGTCATTAAATTCACATTCACCTTCCATTTGCCTATCCAACAGTTTATTTTAAATCATATTCCTGGCTAAGATTTTTGGCTAACATGTGCGTTTGTTATTTTTGCTGTCATTTTATTCATGTTTTTCCATACATTATTTCATTCATTTCCTGTTTTGCCAACCTGATTGCATCACGACCCACTTATTATGATTATATGCCAAGATAAGATTATTTATTTGTTTATAAACAAAATTTTAAAAAATTAAAAAAAATTTAATGTGAAGCTTGGTGAGCCCGGCTATAGGCTGGGATAAAGTGCTATATAATTAATACCGTAATAATAATAATAATAATTATTTCAATCATATCGAAATGTTTTTTTGTTTTTTTTCACTATTTTTATTACTTTTCAGAACATAAACAAATACACATTTTGTAAGCAAGACAACAATTTACAATGACATAAATTTACACAAAAGAGATTAGAGTTAGATTTGAGAAGCCCCTTTTTTCACTCTTTCTTCTAAACGGTTTAACAGAGCGAGCAGTGGTTTATCTAGTATTTTACAACACATTCATGTAAAAGATTATTTTCCGCCAATATGGTAGGGCTCATCTTATACCTCCTTGCCCTAACGACCAGGTGATCTACTTGCAAACGCAATAATAGAGAAAGACGAGGGAAACATGAAAAAAAAATATATAAAAAATTATATTAATTGCAGCTTGCAGTAGGCTGGAAAAGAGTGGTTTTCTGATCTTTTAACTAAGGTTAAAACATTTCAAAAGGTGAACACATTTCGTTTATCATTTAGAACTGGGTTTTCATTATGGTCCTGATTTTGTAGACTAAATATCAAACATAAATAGCATTTAACATGCGGACAAAATATTCATACAAAATTTGACTCATCCATAGCAAATATGAAAACTAAAGATTAAAAGGTTATATAAATAAATAAACTTATCATCTAGCAGATACTTTAATGATGGCTAAAATATCCAAATATTTTTGAAACCATGTTTCGAATGGTGATTTTACAATCACGGTTACAGCAGAAGAGCACTGGATCCAAAGCTGCGTTACTGTAGTTACAGAAGCAGATCACCAGTATCAGCCAAGAGGGCATCTGGCTGCCAGTCATGGTGCATATGGGCACCGTTATGATTACCGGCAACCAGGTGATGGAGAAACACATAACGACAAACCCAATCGTCCGAACAGCCCTCATTTTTCTGAAACCTTGACGATGTCCTTGAGTTTGTGGTGTCTTGGGGAATCTCCGATTTAATTTAAAAGTAGGAAGGCGTATAAATGAAAATCTGAGTTTATTTGATTTATTTAGGTCATGTACGGAATGTGTGTCCGGGAGATTTGTGTCGTGTGGATTTATAAGTGTGTCTTTTTTTACAGACATGTCCAGTCGTTCAGGTATCGTGTATGCCATAAGCTGCGCACATTCAGGATCAGCTGACGTTAAAATGTTAGTGTTGACATTTGAATCAAAATGGTTTTTGACACCCAACGCTTGTGATCTTGGTTCTAATGATCTTGGTTCACACTTCTCGCTAACAGCTAAGCTTTTGACTTGTGTGTGGACATCTGAGCTTGACGAAACTGAATCAAAAAAACATAAAGAGCTAATATTTGGGGTCAAGATCTTGGGTCCACTCGTGGAAAAAAAATGCTCAACATTTTTCTCAACACCTTTCTCGCTTTGCTCCTCATCTGTAAAATTCGTTTTAGATTTTACGCAATCTACATGGTGTGGGTGTATTCGAATACTGCAGCTGTTGGCGATTCTTTTACTGGATCTCAAAATATCCTTTACAATAAAGAAATACAACAACAGTATCGCAGTGATTGGCGAGAAACCAAGAAAAACATAGTTGAGTATCACAAACACCATCGATCGTCTAAAGTCACAAACGCTATTGGATTCTGCACATGGTTGGGCATCCTCAACTGAATTTAACCAGTTGGCCGCCATGGGCGTGATCACCACCAGCAGAGACAGGGCCCAACAAAGTCCCACGAGACCGTAACCCACTTTGAAGGAAAGGCTTCGGTAAACCAAAGGTTTGCATACAGCCAAAAATCTGTCCACGGCCATACACACCACGTGACACATGACCAGTGGACACCATATGTAGTGTGCCAGCACCTTGATGAAACAGCATGTGGGGCCGAGTGTCCAGTGTCCGCTGTGGTAGAGCTCAATCACCATTAACGGCATACCGGTGACTCCAAAGATGGCGTCTGAAATGACCATCGAGATCATCAATATTTTCGTGATGCCGTTCTCGACCTTGACCGAGTCGCACTGTTTCCGTCGGGCGGCGCATTTGGCGTACGTGAATGTCAAGATGGCCGCCAGGTTGGCAAGGACGATGAAGATGTTGAGAAGCGACATCATGGCTGCTATGACGTAAGACCCAGTGACATCCGGAAACATGTTGAAAGTTTGACCCCAAATCATGAGACGACATATTGTCACGTTCGTCATTTTCCAAAAATTGTTCAATACAAAAATTAAAATTACAGTCTGATAATTGTTTTTGTTTTACACTAAACTGCTGGGCGTGCTTAGATGTGAATGTCTTTATTTTTTTTTTTTTTTACTGAATGAATAATATAGTTCTTTCCTTAGAATTTACTCACAAACTCTATAAAAATACTTTAATATTTACAAGTGAGTTTTCAAACATGAAATTGCTAGTGTAACAATAAGGAAATGTTTTACAAAAAACTACAACCAAATTAGCAATTTTTCATGAAGTACTAAACACTTGAAATTTCAATCCGATCGTACACATCTTTAACACTTTTATAAGCCAAGAAAATGAATACGGCTAAACATCTTGCTAACATACTGAAATCAAGTCAACGTATGAAAAGACTAAAACAGTTTGATGTGCATGTTTTTCTGCTTATCACTCACCACCACACAACTAAAGTAAATCAGGATCACCTTTTTATTTCATACATATAAAACTACATGATGAAAATTGTCAATGACCCATTAAGATAACGCAGCTGATTCTATTCATTCTTTGCTGAAATCATTCTGGTACTTTGATGACTTGACAATTTTACAATCCAAATGAGAAATAAAGAACAACATGAAGCGGTTACCATGGGAACGAAAGTTGAGACAAGTAAGATTAGTGTTGAAAGTTAATGGCTGCACTCAGAGCACAAACATTCTAGCTTTGTTTCATCATCGATTTAACAAACAGAGAATTTTTTACCGGCGCATACTTCTAGCGTCATTCAACATGGCAACGATTACAGCAGAGTTTTTACAGTGATCTGCAAAAAAAGTGTTTTTTTATTTATATAGACATGCATGTTTTTTATTTTAAAATGGTATTAGGTATGTTTTATTGTATACCATATATTGCACTGGTTTACGCTGAGCTAAAAGAAATCTGGAACATGGTTAGAGCCGAGATGTGCAAAGCTTGTATCGGTTGCTGTTATAAGACTCCGCTGACATGTGATAGTGTCATATCCACTAAGAAAGAAAAGTAGTCAGTTGACATGTATATACTCGATGAATTGTTGCTGGTTACTGCTGTTAATCAAAATTCCAATACATAGCGTCTGAAGCTGTCGGACCTATCATTTACTAATTTTCATATGGTTTTAATGGTTGCCGAATCGATTTGTTACTATTTAAAAAATTTCTTCAATAGCTGCTTGATAGATGTCTACATTTTACACATGGCTTAATAGCTTTCTGTTTTACTGATGACTGAGGAAGAAATCCGTTAGAATCGTCCCATTTTTACACATATGCTTAAACAGCTGTCTCGCATATCTTTTTACAGACCATGTTACAATAGAAGATGAGAGGGTTGATTGTTGGGTTGATGTACCGAATCCAGCTGATCCCCTCGAGGTCATGCTAGCTGGCATCGCTACGCCACTGAATACCACCAAATCGGGCCGACAAAATGACAAAAGCGGACGGTAAAACAAACCGAGACGAAACCAATCTTGCGAAACCCCTTGACACAGGGATATCCATATCTTATTTTCGCTGTTTCATTTATCATCAAATCTTGGATGTCCTGTTGGTAGTGTGGTTTGATTCAGCGAATTTATGTTAGAATATGGTTTATGTATGTTATTTCTTGATATAGGTAAGATAATACCTGGAATACGTTAATACTGATGGCTGATTATTATGCTCTGTCCTCATTAGCACTTTGGTTGTTGAAAGACTATGATTTCTTGTGAATTTTCTTACTTATAAATTCACTAGAATTTGGGGAATTGTTATATCTTATAGTAAAACAGACTTGTTTTTTACTCGGTTGTTAATCAAATCGTCTCTTAATTTTTTACGATTTTCATTAATTAAATATAAACATGTCTTAAAGAGCTCTGAAATGGAATATGAAATGGCGGCGAAATGAGTAAAGATGTAGAGTATAAGGTTGACACAGAAGGCTGTCACTTTGCACAGGTCAAAGCAGACGACTAGTCTTGCGTGCTCCACAACGGCATCAACGTGCAGGACTACCAGCCGATCTCGTTATTAAAAAGGATCATGCTAGTTGTGATCATCCAGCATAGAGCAGACATGACGTGGCCAGGCTACGGGCTCATTCGACGGAAAGGGGGGGTTTGTCGACAGCCAGGTTCCTGTCGAAACCATGCACATCTCGTTTGATAGAGGGACAGGGAGCAGGGGATTATCGAGGTTTAAAATGCATGCGGTAAACCAGTGTGCACCGAAAGTCCACACACCGTTGTTTAAATTTTCTTCGACATCCAATGGCGTGATGAGCAACTCGACGGAGACATCTCAAAGCAGCAATGACGTCATCAAAATCTGCACAAGCGATTTCAATTTTTTTTTTTGATGTAATCAATCCTGGTTCACCAGTAGACCACCTTAGCGTGACTTTCTATTTAACCAGGGCGAAAAGGAAACCGCTGTACATAGTACAAGTCAAAGCAAGGAGGTTGGCAACGAGTGAAATTATTGAACAAGGAATGTAGCAAGATTTACAAATATTTACTTTTTAAATTAAAACTTAAATGCAAAGTAAAAAAAAAAAAAAAAAAGAAATTGTCATTTCTAAGGTCGAAAAACAACACATTACATTACGAAATGTTAATATTTTAAAAGCAAGGAGGGTGGCAACGAGTGAAATTATTGAACAAGGAATGTAGAAAGATTTACAAATATTTACTTTTTAAATTAAAACTTAAATGCAAAGTAAAAAAAAAAAAAAAATAGGAATTGTCATTTCTAAGGTCGGAAAACATCACATTACATTACGTAATGTTAATATTTTTAAATAATGCTTTTATAAAACAAAGATTATAACATTGCATTGTGTCATAATATATATTTTTTTAAAGCAGTAAAAGAATTTATGTAAAATCGTACATAAAATAAAGATTTAAAAGCTGGCTCCTCTGGTTAAGATGCACTAACTGGCTCTCATGACCTTAGACGTACTGGACAGTATTTGGGAGGATGTCTAAGCGAAGAGTCGGGATTTTCATTAATATCTTAATGAGATGAGCCAGACTATCTGCTCGTATGTTCTATTTATAGATGTTCGCCATTCAATGACAAACCATATTTATACAAAAGAAAATAGTACATATATTAACACAATGAAGATTTTTTTTTGTTTTTATTTTTTTTTTTTGTTTTGTTTATTAAATAAAGTTGGTTTAAAGATCTCCAAAGCTCACGTCAAAATGCGGTCCTAGTTTGCACTTTTCAAAAACTTGTTCAACCGTTCATGAAACGTAACACTTAAAACGCACCTGTTCAACTCACTCAAATGACGGGTCACGCCCTAGTTTAGTAATGTTGGCAGAATCAAGTTGACAGAATTGACTGTTTTTTTTTTTTTTTAATTAAAGAACTAATCTTACTACACCAGGCAACACATTAAATAAGCACTGTATATCTTATGTGTAAAAATTTCACATTAATATGGCTTACGTTATCTTTGAACCAATCAAATCAACATTTGACAAGTCAATTTACACCTATTGGTTTCAATTTTACACATTTTTTGTGTTTGTAAAATCCATTATAATCGTATTCTTTTCATTAGATCGATTTCCCAATACGTTAAAGATATCTTGATTAAATTGATTTACCAACAGATTAATATCTTTATTAGATTTAATTCCAAATAATTTGTACATTCAATGTATTTAATCTTATTTGGAAATATTTTTTTTTTTTAAATAAAATGTTAGATTTTTAAGATATTAAAAATAATCTCTTAATAAATTTACTTATTTATAGATACTTTAAAAAAATTAAAAAATTACTAAATATTGAATGCATTTTTCTTTAGAGTAACACAAACACAGAAACAAATTAAAACGAGACAAAACAGATGCTCTTTATTTTCATGTTGTAAATTTATTTTTAAATTGTATCCTAATCAGGCTAATAAACACCTACATAAAAGCAATGGCCAGTCAAAACACTGACACCACGACAGAGCTGGATAGTTTGTTCGTCATCGGAATACAAACATGATGTCATGTAAAAGTTAAGAGACAAATTAAAAAAAATATCTTAAAAGAAAAATTCTATAAAAGACGAGCTTAAACCACTGTAAAGTAAAAACTAATTTACATTTCTGAAAATCAATTACGAAAAGAAAGTCTGTGCAGAAAATATGTTCAAAATTTTTTTTTAAAATTATTTAAAAAAAAAACAATTAATAAAATATAGTTTTTAATTTGAAAAGTTACCGCGGGGCACAATTAACTTGAATGGTAACAGTTACGTGTGTAATACATTTTAAAATAAAGTCATCTTATTGGGTCTGGTGTATGTACTGGAAAAGAATGTAATTGAATTCATCACAAACATATCAACATTTTACAAAAAGTAACAACAGTAAACTTATTTTTTTTTTCTTTAAATAATATTATAATATTTTTTTTCTTAAAATCTTTGCATACGCATTATAAAAAAATAAAATTAAAATCTATTTGTGTTAAAAAAATTAATATCAATAATTTTTTTCAGAAATATATTATTATTTAAATTTGGAACAATAACAGATCTTAAATTACTGCATGTATTTCATACTGTGCAAATACATAAATTTAAAAGAAAACGTTTCATTTGATCACTATATTCATGACAAAGACACAGTGACACTTATACCAAATAAAGAGGATACAGTGTTGCGTATTGTGAATTTTGAAATGGCTTTTTTATGACTTATCTATTATCTTAAATTAAACAATGAAACAGATCCGTTCTCTAACATGATCCTGGGAACAGAGAAAACA